AAACTAAAGGAAATAAAACAACAACAACAATAATAATAGCAGTAGTAGTAGTAATAGTTGTAATAATAATGATACTGTGACAAATATCAGTAGACCATAGACCATCTAATTCACGGTTTTTCTGTAGTGCGTCAAATGAATATAAAAATCGTCACGAGAGAGTGGGGCAATAATTACTATGGACAATGTGTAAACTCTTTCGAAAAGGTGTTGATAAGCAATGGTATGAACATCACCCAGCAACGGTCACAGAAATAGAAGACATCACAATTCTATGAGATTACCTAGTCTTTACAGTCAGGAAGATTGAAGTAAATAGGCCGGACATAATTGCCAAAAACCGAAAAAAAAAAACAAAAAAACTTGCCTACTAATTGATATGGCTTGCCCAACAGCCTGTAACATAGCAACCAGAGAATTTGAAAAACTATCGAAGCATAAAGACCTGGAAAACGAAAGAGAAAAAAATGTGGAAATTGAAAACAAAAATAGTACCAGTCATAATAGGTACGCTTGGAATGATAAAAATAGGAACACAACAACACATTGAAAAAAATCCCAGCTTAAGAGAAATAAATAATTGTCTTAATAGGTACAGCCCACACACTAAGAAGTACTTTGTCCACGTGACGATAGGGATCTTATGGGAGTTATTAAAATAAATCATGAAATGTAGCCATAAGAAGACATCATTACTTGCCTTAGGTCTTCCAGCAGACTTTGTAGATAGTATAACCATAGCAGAAATTGAAGATTAAACAACAGACAAAACGGCTGAGTTGGAAGGCAAAATGAAAGCGAGAAATTGAGAAAATCAGTCATGAATTATCGATATTAAATGAAATCTCAAAAAATTCTAATGTTTCAACACGGAAAAAAAAGAATCAAGCGGAAATATAAAATTAAAGCGGTAAATGAAATTCCATCAAGCAAGGAAATACTTCAACAGAAACTGCAATAAAAGGCACAGAGAACGAAACGATTCGTGGGGAATACTGGTTCAATTCTTGTTGGAGGACAAGAGATTTACTATGAGATTTCTCGGACATTCACGCCGGTAAATGTTGTTAATACTATTTATTATAAACAGAACATTTACTTAAATATTTGTATCTGTAAAAATAATGTAGATACAGAAAATATATTAAAATAATTGACGGATTTTATGTCCATATATATATATATATATATATATATATATATATATATATATATATATATATATATATTTATTTTATTATTATTTTTAAAAAAATTATAACATAAATATGTTATAAAATCACTACAAAAATAGCCATTTTGTTTCAACATCCTCGGTGTCTTATCAAGTAATGATGTTGAAGATAAACTAAATGGTTTTAAAAGTTTCAAATTAATTAACGATCCTTCGCTAGGGGAAAACATTGTTACAAAAGCTAGAATTACCAATCAAAATCCAAGTATAGGAAGATTCAAAAGCTTGACAACGAAATCATGTTATAATAGCTATTCAGATCTTTAAAATACGGATAATATTAAAAAGAATTTATTCTAACCAATAATTATTAATTTATATGATAAAATTTGATATTAAAATTAAAAACTGCCAATTTTAAAATTCAAATTTAATCAGTATGAAGTTTAAAAACTATAAAATTATTGAGAAAAGAAAAAATACATACGTTATTCAATTTATTTCTTCGTTGAAATTACGTACAACCAGACGCTACAATATATCCGGTCATTTGACAATACATGTATATGTATGTTAATCCCAAGTGTGTGAATGGGGTC